AGAGCAGACCACAGCAACCTCCCTGAACAGGATCCAGTAACCATCATAGTGGCAGATATCCAGCTGGTAGTCAATGAGAGACACCCAGAATGGCTAACCAAAGGTCCAAGATTCCTGATCTCCAGGGAACCCCAGAAATAACCGGTCCCATCCAACTACCGGCCACTAACCTGCCTCAGTATCACGTGGAAGTTCCTGTCAGGCAGGTTAAGAAAAACAGGCGCATGGCTCAATACGTAAGCAGGGAAGAGAAACGAATTGGCAGGAATACCAGAGAACCGAAACACCAGGTACTGATAGACAGAGCAAGACTGTAAGACTAGGCTGACCAACCTGTGCACTGCCTGGATTGATTACAAGAAGGCTCATGACTCAATGGCCCACACCTGGATACTGGAATGCCTAGAATTGTCCAAGAACAACAGGACCTTAAAAGCCTTCATCAGGAAGTCGATGGGGATGGACATTAGAGACCAACTTCAAGCCCATAGCACAGGATCTATCAAGGAGATGCCCTGTCCCCTCTACTGTTCTGGATAGGCCTGAACCCCCTCAGTGAGATCATTGAAAAGAGTGGCTGTGGTTACCGACTATGGAATGGAACAATCCTGTACATGGACATCAAGCTGTATGCCAAGAGTGAACGAGACATCGATCACACGAGTACCTCAGGAAGATGGCCATGGACAGCTGCATGCTCAGTGAATGCCTCAAGCAGCAGAAACCCAATAAAGAGGAGGGAGACGAGGAACCATCATGGAAGGACAGGCCCCTGCACGGTATGTACCACCGGCAGATAGAGGAGGTGGCTGATCATCCAGAAATCCTACCAGTGGCTGGACAAAGCTGGACTGAAAGACAGCACAGAGGCACTAATCATCGGCAGCACAAGAACAAGCTCTGAGTACAAGATCCATAGAGGCTGGGGTCTATCACACCAGGCAAGACCCCAGGTGCAGGCTGTGTAAAGATGCCTGAGATAATACATCACATAACAGCAGGGTGCAAGATGCACAGAAACAGAAACGTGTGCCGAATATGGCCTCGTAGTCTCAAGGTCAAATCGGGAGAGTAGGGTGGTCGAGAATGGCCGAACTAAGATCCTGTGGGACTTCCAGATACAGACGGCCAAAATGGTGGCTAAACAACTGGACATAGTAGTGGTAGACAAACAGAAGAAGACAGCTGTAGTGATAGATGCAGTGTACCAAATGACAAAAACAATCAGAAAGAAGGAACACAAGAAGCCGGAGAAGTACCAAGGGCTCAGAGAAGAGCTCGAGAAGATGTGGAGGGTGAAGGTAAACATGGACCCAGTGGCAATCGGAGCACTAGGTGTAGTGACCCCCAAGCTAGGCGAGATAAGCAACTTCATCACTGATACAGCATTTTCACGTTCACTAACACTCACGTTTACTTGTAGTGTTAACCAATCACTGTCAAGAAAGTACTTACTGTAACTTGACTTGCATCATAACACTGAAAAATTTGGGGAAAAAACGTGTGATAGTTGTGATAGTCTCTAGTAACGCTCTTGAAATGTGGAATTTCCAAGTATTTCAATGAATGTTCATAATTCAATCACCAATTTTATATATCATATATATAATTAGTTAAAGATGGTTTGACAGCATTAAATTGGAATTGATAAACTCACCTACTGGGAAGTTTTCCTCATACGCTGACAGAGTTCCCTTCAGACTCACAGCATCTCCAGACAAACCATGCACTGCTAAAAACATAAAGTGTTATGTGTTTTTACATTTTACCATTATACAATCATTTGTTAATAACCTGTGAAAGATAAAGCATAATTACAGATGTGCAAATGATATCTAAAATACAGAAGAACTTTACAGTTGGATTTATCTGATTATTTGTTCAGTCACGCAAAATGAATTTGTTAAACTTCATATTTAACTAACAATATTCAATGAACAATTGAAGTTGTTTGCTCAAAGTAATTAAATGTTTAGCTATCGATTAATATTGTGAAATAGCAAACAACTGTTTATTTAATAAAATGCTTGAAGTTTGCATAATAAGTCTCGAAATAACTGAATACAACTAAATACAATACTCAATTACTAAATTAATCTACAAATATCCAGTGACTCTTTGCAATAATACATCTGAGAGGAGATTCATATTTTTATTAGTTGCTATGGTTAGGACTTTTGCACACAACATGTTTAAAATGTGGTGTTTTGTTCTACATGTAGCTACCTAACAGTTCATTCCTGCACATGAAACATTAGTTGAATAATCAACTAGCCAACAGCACCACTCTTTTAGCACAATTTAAACCATTTTTGGTGGAAAAAGTAATCAGTGAAAATAATCACTGAATGCAGTTGGACACAAAATGTCTGTGTAGGTTCTCAGTCATCCAGGTTCTGGTTATCTAAGGAGGAAGGGAAAGCGACTGGACTTCTTTAAGCTTCCTGAAGAAATGGTGAAGATGCATTTAAATGGAACAACACTGTCATTCCTTATGTAGCAGGTAGAAACTCATCAAACCTCTGCTTATAATGACCCACAGCCTTTTTCACACCTTGGCTCGTGTGACGAGGCACATGACCGGTAGTGAGTCAACACCCTCAGGGACAACTCCCACTAGGGCTTAAATACCTGGGCTCTGCCATTTAGTGTTAGAACTGAAGATGCTTCTGGGATGAGAGGTTGAAGCTTCATGTAACTGGACGTCTTTAGGAAACTGAAACGAGTCCAGGCGCTTCGCTTTCCAAGCTCGTTGGATTGGACACAAAATCCTTAAAAATAAAAGTACCTAAACCAACAGTAAAATCCTGCTTTTATATGTTAATGTGTGACTTATTGCAGTTTCATGATCTCATGTACAATCAGCTACAGAAGGAAATTTTCTTATTAGAACGCTACTTTTACTTCTAAATGTAATTTTTTTTAGTGACAAAGAGTATCTGAACTTAACTTTAACAAAGAACTTTTAACAGAACACGATGTTAGACACATATGTTTACTTAAGTCACACAGTCAGCTGCTTTAAAACAGATAATTTGCTTATATAAACGGAAAACAGCAAAACAAAATTTGTCTTTAAGTTTCGGGCTTTCACACAATTACTGTGAAAAAACAATATAAAACGCATCTGCTAATTTGTAGTGAACAGCAGCATGAGAAGGACCTCTCTCATTACCCATTCCGCTCGGCCGGTGTAGTATCTCCGTCATATGCCGGTACTGCTGGACGTCAGTGGAAAGCTGTCTCCGGTACTTGTGGCTCCAAGAATCCCGCTCCGACCGGGCTGACATTTCCAAGGCAGCTGCGCAACGTCCTCTGCGACCAGTCAGCAGCACAGCATCACATGCCTGTGCACGATGCACCTGGTAAACTCCCAGTGAGGGACACGGAGGTCTGCCTCGCTTTTGCTTTTCAAAGTAAAAGTCTTCAAAAGTTTGACTTAGTGAGCCTGTAGGTCAATACGAACGAGTCCGAATTAACATACTACTACTAATAATAAATGTAAATAAATACTACTAATAAATAAATCCTTCTGATTTTACTGTAGAATTAGGTGCAAATGTTTTTTGTGTATGTGTTTGTGGTGTGTTTTATGGGTGATACAATATGTTTATGTTGACCTAAATACAGTGAATACAAAAAATATACAATTTAAGATTCAAAAAGTCACCGTAGTATCAGATTTCTTTCAACTATAAATACTAGAGGGAGATCTTTGTTTCATTGTTTGCTTACTTCCCTTTTCTCATATTGTTGTTATTTACATTTATGAATATATCACAAAATCTTTTTTCACTTAATGCCATATATAACCTAATTAGCGGTATATTACATTATTACATTTTTCAGAGTATACTGATTAAACCTAGGCAACTTTTATTATGACGTTAAATGTGGATTATTTCCTGTGTTGGTTCGGTGAGCTCTACACTGACGTACATAGTGAAAAGCTGTCGCTTTATTTCAGTTTTTCTTTTATTATAAATGCTGCCACTTGTTTATCTGCACACCAATAACCAGAACAATTCAGTTACGTTTCTGTGCTTGAACATGGAAAGGTTGCACAGTTTTTCCTTAAAATTAAATTGCGTAGACTTCACGTTAATAATCACCCAGTGAGCAGCTGAGTCACATGATATTATTAAATCACTCTTTGCTTTGTCCCCTACCTCTACCCCAAAGCATTGTTTGGAGATGAACACATTTATTCCAAACATTTTCCATCAACTTTTTCTCTCTGTTTGCTTGCACGTGGGTTTGACTTGAGTTTTTTCCTCGTCAACATCCCAGGAAAAGACTCAGCACTTCCTGTCCTCCAGTCAGTTCCTCTGTCAGCTCAGAATTGCAGCCAACTAGCAGCAGTGTTGTAGAAACACAAGAACTGTCACAGTCATGAAATCAGACACATAAAGTGATACACATTCTGCAAGTCTTGCAAATGTACTGCCATAAAATACTTCAGCTCCTTTTATTGTACTCACTAGTAGTCAGATAAAGCACTATGTCAGCAACATGCGACCCTTAAATTCTCTTTTATGGTAAACTGACTAGTTGTTACTCTACTCAAGCACTCAAAGCACCTTATGCAGCTAGTTTCATTCACGCACAAGCAAACTGTCAAAGTGCTGTCTAACATTCATGCTACAATGAATGCAGCACATCAGCAACAACCTGGGTTGAGTATCTTGCCTGGAACTGACCCACCAACCTTCCACTTAGCAGATGAGCTGCTCTGCCTCCGGAGCCACAGCTACCTCACAGACAGTTGGACAGAGTTTGACTGGTATTTCTTTATTAAATGCCAATTAAAACAAGAATGAGTTAAAAATGACAGCAACATGATATGTGAATAAAATTAAAGGTGACCACAGCTTTACAGTTGTGGTCAAAAGTTTACATACACTTGTAAAGAATATAATATAATGGCTCTACCGAGTGTCCCGTTATTTCTAAAACTCTGATTTTTCTCTGATAGAGTGATTGGAACAGATACTTCTTTGTCACAAAAAACATTCATGAAGTTTGGTTCTTTAATGACTTTATTATGGGTTAACAGAAAAAAGTGATCACATCTGCTGGGTCAAAAATATACATACAGCAGTGCTAATATTTGGTTACATGTCCCTTAGCCATTTTCACTTCAATTAGGCGCTTTTGGTAGCCATCCACAAGCTTCTGGTTGAATCTTTGACCACTCCTCTTGACAGAATTGGTGCAGTTCAGTTAAATTTGATGGCTTTCTGACATGGACTTGTTTCTTCAGCATTGTCCACATGTTTTCAATGGGGTTTAAGTCAGGACTTTGGGAAGGCCATTCTAAAACCCTTATTCTAGCCTGATTTAGCCATTTCTTTACCACTTTTGATGTGTGTTTGGGGTCATTGTCCTGTTGGAACACCCAACTGCGCCCAAGACCCAACCTGTGTGCTGATGATTTTAGGTTATGTTGAAGAATGTGAAGGTAATCCTCCTTCTTCATTATCCCATTTACTCTCTGTAAAGCACCAGTTCCATTGGCAGCAAAACAGCCCCACAGCATAATACTCCCACCACCATGCTTGATTGTAGGCATGGTGTTCTTGGGGTTAAAGGCCTCACCTTTTCTCCTCCAAACATATTGCTGGGCATTGTGGCCAAAAAGCTCGATTTTTGTTTCGTCTGACCACAGAACTTTCCTCCAGAAGGTCTTATCTTTGTCCATGTGATCAGCAGCAAACTTCAGTCGAGCCTTAAGGTGCCGCTTTTGGAGCAAGGGCTTCCTTCTTGCACGGCAGCCTCTCAGTCCATGGAGACGCAAAACACGTTTAACTGTGGACAATGACACCTGTGTTCCAGCACCTTCTAATTTCACCCTCCTGACCAATTTTCTCTCAGCAGCAGGTGATAGCTTGCGTTCTCTTCCTGATCTTGGCAGTGACGAAACAGTGCCATGCACTTTATACTTACAAACAATTGTTTGCACTGTTGCTCTTGGGACATGCAGCTGCTTTGAAATGGCCCCAAGTGACTTTCCTGACTTGTTCAAGTCAATAATTCGCTTTTTCAGATCCATGCTGAGCTCCTTTGACTTTCCCATTGTAGCGTTTGTGGGCGTTTGTATCCAATGAGCCCTATTTAACTGGCCTAAGAGAAGTCACCAGCTGTCGTCACTCATAATCACTCACAAGAAGTTAAGAGGCCATGCTATGAAGCTCAGTTCACTGACAACTTTCTAAGTCACCAAAATTGCTAATTCATGTTGCTGTATGTATATTTTGACCCAGCAGATGTGATCACTTTTTTCTGTTAACCCATAATAAAGTCATTAAAGAACCAAACTTCATGAATGTTTTTTGTGACAAAGTATCTGTTCCAATCACTCTATCAGAGAAAAATCAGAGTTTTAGAAATAACGGGACGCTCGGTAGAGCCATTATATTATATTCTTTACAAGTGTATGTAAACTTTTGACCACAACTGTAAACATGAACTTTTCAGTAAATTGAAACCACAGCTAAAGTGACTCCATAATGACAAATGAACAAAAATAACTTACAAAAGAGTTTTTTTAAAGAATGACAACAAAAAGACAGCCTGCTACCAATACACAAAGATGAACAAGAATTCACACAAATGATCACTTTTTGAACAAGACTCAGAGTCAGATTACTTTATTAATCTCATAGGAAATGATTTTGTCACAGTTGCTCCAAGACAGCAAGAACAGTAACTAATCAAACTAAATTAAATACAATATATTACAAAGTTACAAAATATAACAATATTGCTCTAATCAGTGCAGATAGCTCTAACCATTGCCCCAGTATATTAATCAAATTAAACACACATGACTGATACTGAGGTGCCCTTCTGTTGTTTATTATCTCTGTAGAGGACGTGCAGATAATAACAGTGTGCAGCTGTTGCAGTTTGTACTTGTGCTTTGAATGGGGAAGACAGCCACAGGCAGGAATGACTTCCTGTGTCATTTAGTGGTGCATTAAGGTAATCTCTGTCACAATCAGGTGTGTGGGAACAGAGAGCGGACCGAAATGCAAGACTCGGCTGGCTGGCTTGGAACCGATGCGGTCCTTTATTACAGGAACCAAGTGAACTGAACATAAATGATTGAAATAAGCAGGAACTGAGCGCTTAAATGGGCAGGATAATGAGAAAATGGGAAACAGGTGGACAAACAGCTGGAATAAATCTAAGTAATGAAACAGAGGAAGTTAAACTAAAGATCATGCACACAGAACAAAAGTCAATCACAAAAAAGCAGGAAACAGACACAGGAAACTAAACAGTGACAAAAAGTCCAAAACCAAAACACTGGATCAACCACCAGGTACCACGACAATCTCTGTCTCTGAACCTGCTCCTGTGACTGGCCAGCACCTCGTGGAGTGGGTGGAAGGTATTGTCCACCAGTGTCCTGATCTGGACAACATCTGCCTCTCCAACACCACCTGGATCTAACTCTGTTCTCCTTCTCTAATGGAAGCCTTTTTCCACCCAGACCTGGATCATCCCTGAGAGATACCCTTGTGTTCACCCTTATTCTCATGAAAGACTGTTAAATCTTTCAGTGACTCTCTTTGTGGATCCAACTTTGCTATGCGGCTATACAGCCACGACACACACATATATGTATCCCTGCTAGCATCTTGCACCGTGCTGTTATGCGCTGGATTGTCTCAGTGGCGTCTTTGCACAGCCTGCACCCGGGGTCTTGCCTGGCGTGATAGACCTCAGCCTCTATGGTTTCCTTATCCTCACTCTCTCACCTGGTAGAAAGTTCTGCATGATTCTTATGATCAGCGTCATGCTGCATTTTAAACTGACTTTTCTTCACTGAGTGACGTGCAAAGTCATCCAGTGGAGACACCGTAGAAGGCAAAGGGAGGATGTCCAGTTTAGTACACATCTTCCTGCCAGACAGGAGTTCATACGGAGGACGCGATAAAACCGTTCAATTGGTCAGTTTGCAGCTGGGTAGTAGACAGATGTTCTGCTGATGTTCTGGCTACCAGGTGTTATATTTGACATCCCTGGTCTGTATACTGCACATACTGCAAGGTAGGTCTGGGGACCTGTACGTGCTTGACCATGAAGCTCACAGCAGAAAACTCATTCTCAATGCTCATCTACATTCACTCCTCACTTCAATCTGACAACTCATCAAAGCAGTTTGTACTTTTGTCACACACAGCTCCAGATTGCTCACTTTCCTGAAAACTATCCAGCACTGCATTAATGTTTACAATCAAATTACTTCCACATTTTTTGAAGTATGTACGTAAGAGTGAATACAGTAACTCGCTGTCAGAGGTTTACTTGCAACAAATATAAATACATATTTTCAGTCTTGTGTCACAGCTGCTCATCCAAATTTC